CTCCTCCATCCCTCCTCCTCCTCCATCCCGTCTCCTCCCTTGGTCCTCTTCGAGCCCTCCTCCTCCTCCAGCCCTCCTCCTCCTCCATCCTCCTCCTCCATCCTCCTCCTCCATCCCTCCTGCTTCTCCGTCCCTCTTCCTCCTCCATTCTCCTCCTCCATCCCTCCTCCTCCTCCATCCCTCCTCCTCCCTTCCTCCTCTTCCATCCCGCCTCCTCCTTCTCTTCCATCTCTCCTCCTCCTACTCCATCTCTCCTCCTCCTCCATCCCTCCTGCTCCTTTACCAAGGACCGGCGCCCACCCTTGGTCCCCTTTTCCCTCCCCACCCCCCAAAACTCATGGCATCCCCCGGGAAGGCCAGGGATGGAGGTGGGTCAGGTTGGGATGGGGCAGCGCTGGGCTGTGGGCTGCTCCCACCCACTGTGGGTGAACCCGGGAAGGGGAAAAGAAGAGGAAAACAGAAAACTCGTGGGTGGAGGTAAAAATAGTTTAATAAGAGAAGGAGAAGGAGAAGAAGGAGGAGGAGGAGGAGAAGGAGAAGGGTGAGAAGGAGGAGGAGGAGGAGAAAGGGGTGAGAAGGAGAAGGAGGAGGAGGAGAAGAAGGAGGAGGAAAAGGAGGAGGAGAACGAGAACGAAGAGGAGAAGGAGAAGAAGGAGGAGGAGAAGGAGGAGTGATGCAAAGGCCATCACTCACCACTTCCCATGGGGAGATGGATGCCCAGCCAGTTCCTGACCGAAAGCTGGCCAACCCCCCGCCCCCAACCCCCCTCCTCTCCATTTTATTGCTGAGCACAACATGATACGGCCGGGAAGATCTCATTGGTTGGGTCGGGTCATCCGCCTGGTTGTGTCCCCCCTCCCGATCTCTTGTGCACCCTCCAAATCTATTCACTGTTAAATGAACAGGACGTGAATCTGAAAGACGTTATGACCAAAATCCACCTCCCGAGGTGGTTTTTTTTCCCCCAAAGTTTCCCCCATCGGCAGCGTCTCCTTCCTCAGGGTAAAATAGTCCCTGAGCCGTCGGTGAGAGCGGCTCATCCCTCCGCAATCATGGTCCGGTATCCCTATATCCCACCGGGAAGCACAAAAGCCTCAGCCCTTGGTGAGCACCATCATTGAAGTTCATCTTGACAGTTTGTAAGCAGGTAATAATTAACGGTACCCGCTTTTAACGAAGCAAGTGATGAAGAGTGAGGAACATATTAAGAGCAAACTAAATAAAATACAACACGATGATCACAGCTTGTAAAACAAGACTTGAGATGCCAACCAGCATCCCACCAAAACGTCGCACCAATGCTGTCCATCAGTTTGTTCAACCTTGGGTCTTGTTAACGACCCCGCTGGCTAATGAGATTTTATAATCCCTTTGGACTCATGGCAACACCCTGTTTTTGCCAGGAAGGCAGCGTTTCTTAAACATCTCCTTTCCCTGGACCCATAAATCCCCACGGAGATGCTGGGGCTCTTGGATGTGATGGTCCCACGTGCTGGGGTGAAGGAATCAGAATCATGGAATAGTTTGGGTTGGAAGGGACCTTTCAAGGTCATCTAGTCCAACCCCCCTGCCGTGGGCAGGGACATCTTCAACTCGATCAGGTTGCTCAGAGCCCCGTCCAACCTGACCTTGAATGCTCCCAGGGATGGGGCATCTACCACCTCTTCGGGCAACCTGCTCTAGGGTCTCACCACCCTCAGCGTAAAGAATTTCTTCCGTAGATCTAGTCTGAATCGCCCCTCTTTTAGCTTAAAACCATTCCCCCTTGTCCTGTCGCAACAGGCCCTGCTAAAAAGTCTGTCCCCATCTTTCCGATAAGCCCCCTTTAAGCACTGAAGGGCCCCAATAAGGTCTCCCCGGCGCCTTCTCTTCTCCAGGCTGACCAACCCCAACTCTCTCGGCCTTTCTCCATAGCAGTGGCGTTCCATCCCCCTGATCATTTCCGTGGCCTCCTCTGGACCCGCTCCAACAGGTCCATGTCTTTCCTGTGCTGAGGACCCCAGAGCTGGACGCAGCACTGCAGGTGGGGTCTCACCGGAGCAGAGCAGAGGGGCAGAATCACCTCCCTCGACCTGCTGGCCACGCTGCTGGTGATGCAGCCCATGACACGGTTGGCTTTCTGGGCTGTGAGAGCTCGTTGCCGGCTCATGTCCAGCTTTTCGTCCACCCCCAAGTCCTTCTCGGCAGGGCTGCTCTCCATCCCTTCATCCCCCAGCCTGGATTGAGGCCGGGGGTTGCCCCAACCCAGGTGCAGGACCTTGCACT